CAAATGCCTATGTATAAAATTTCATTTAAGTGCTTTCATAAATAAGAAAGTTGGCATTGCGCATGAGCAAAACAACATTTTGAAAACGTCGATAATTGCACTTCCATTCGTAGTGTTTGCATGTAAAGCTTTATTTAAATATCTTCATATATAAAAAAGTTAGCATTGCACATGCGTTAATCCAAATTTTTCACACTGCGCATGCGCAAAGCCAAAAATATCAGTATGCACGGAATCCTCGGACCAAGCCCTTTCAAATGAGCCCTATATCGCCCAAATCGGTTCAGTGGTGTAGAAGGAGTACATGTGACGGACGACAGTGCAGCCAATTTCCACTTTGAGGAAAATACTCTAATAGTATATTAAGTAACAAGGGATTAAAAAGAGTTTTTGTTCCTGAAAGAATGGTTTAAAGCCCAAGGCTTGCCGAGGGCTTTAATATTCTTGAGGGAACAAAAACTAGTTTAATCCCTTGTTACTTATGCTATTTTTTCCAATATCGACCGATCTGATACCATTTGAAAATTAATATGCGATAAAAACTATGAAAATGTAAGGTAGGCTTTTTCGAATGTCATAGTTACGCTCGCTTGTTTGTAGAACTTGTAGAATTTTTTATTTTGGTAAAATCATGCCTGTAAACCCTTCTCAAAATATTGAAGACGAAATACCTTGGTTACAGACTATATACGCAAAATCGATTTGTGTCTATCCGTAAGGAATCCCACGAGATTAATTAAATGAATTAAAATGAGCATTATTTGATGCATAATTCACATTACACAGCATTATACATTACTGACGATGTAATGCACAATTCAAAACCTGTACAATGTAGGTACATTTAGAACGTTATCGAAAGAAGGTGTGGAGAGACTTCGATTCGTTCACGATGAAAATTGTGACTACTTTTTTTTTAGGCTTTTATTGAGATAACAGCCCATTTAGCCACATTACTTTAAACTTCTATATACGAAAAGACATCATTACATATAAACAAGGATTAAACAGGGACACACGCTTCTCGCCAAGAGGTCTACCATAGCATTTTATATGACGATACGGAGTACGACCTTGTGTAATAGAGGATTATGCATAGGGTGAAACAATTAAGGAAGCACATTAAGACAACACCGATCGCTGAGAAAATAATTGGGCCTACAATACTAATAACAGTTATCTTTTTGGTGAAATATTACAGTCGTATTTTGGACATCCTTATAAATTCTATTAGTGCTTCAAAAACGATCAGATTGTTGGTGCACAGTAAGCTGGTAACGTTAGTGGGTAACGGCACACGTTCAATGTTTGAAGGAGCGTCACGCGCTCATTTTCGTATGTTGTGCAAGCTAGAATGATATGGTCCAAATCTGCCAATTCTTCACCACATGAGCAGGCTGGCGAATCTATAATTTTCATTCGGAACAGATGGGCTGGATAGCAACCGTGTCCTAATTTCAGTCTGAAAATTGTTGAGGAGAAGAACCTTGTTATGCTTTTCTTTTCATAGCAGCTCTTAAATTTCACGTTTCGATGTATATAACCATACTGTGTCTTATGCATCCCAATATACTCTTCCCACATTGTTTGCCATTTTTTATAAATGCTATGCCGGTGTTCAGTTATTAAATCTCCGACCGTCAAACAATTCATATCCACAGCTCCGTCTGCAATCGATTTTTTGGCCAAATTATCCACAATGTCATTTTGTTTAATATTACTGTGCCCTTTTATCCCGTATAGATTTACATGAATGTCCAAGTGTCTTAATAGAGTTATCTTCTTTATCTTTTTAATCTTCAATATTATTGGGTCGTGCTTTAAAATGTACTTGGTATTCCCTAGCGCTTGTAAAACTGCTTTTGAGTCCGACATTATTGAAAGAACCTTATATGATGTCGCGGAGCGTCTTCCAGGGCCTTTAAGATTGCGAAAGCTTCAGCAGTAAAAATAGATGCTTTGTCCGATAGTTTTATTAAGGTATATTTCTTTGTGGAATCGTTATAGTATGCACAACCACAACCTTCAATACTCTTATAAGCGCCCTACAGACGGTACGATTTGTCGTACAACTTATCGTACGACAAGTCGTATCAAACATCGTTTCAGCTTGTCGTACGACGTGATTCCCTACAAACGTAAACGATAAGTCGAACGACAAATGTCGCAAATTATAAAAGCAAACTTTAGTTGACAAATGTCTATTGTGGCGTTGGAGAGTAATTCCTTATATTTTATTAGCAATTCTTCATAACTTGAATTGCGTTTAATTTTATTTGCATACTCCTTCGACTTTATATTCCACAAACAACTATGTTGTCTATATAAGCTTATGAATTCCTCCCAAAGATCTTTATATTAAGCATCCATTCTAATAAAGGTAAAGTAAGTAGCGAGAAATGCCTAAATAATAGACTCATCACCTTTCCTGTAGTCGAAATCGTACTAAAGTTGGTCAGATATCGCACAGTTCACATACACACGATACGATCTGCAATTTGCAAGTCGAGTAGTACGCCAAGTTTTATGGCAGGTTCATACTACCATCCGATACGATTTCGACTAACGATCCGTCGTACGACATCGCTACACACGGTACGATTATCTGTCAGACTGTAGTATCGATCTAAGTCGTACGATAAGTTGTACGACAAATCGTACCGTCTGTAGGGCGTTTTAGATCCATCCGTGTACACAATCGGACCATCGATTGTTGATACTATTGACAAGTGTATTTGTTCGTCGTGCTTTAGTACCCCGTTATAAGGGGGAAAATGTACATTAATGGGAATAAGGTGATCTTGGTAATCTAAACCTTCGAAGGTCCAATTTACATTTAGAAGTTGTAAGTTAGTAATATATTCGACTTTATATCTCTATCAAGGAAGAAGGTAACTGAATATTAAAAAACATTTTTAAAAACAAGCTTAACGCGTAACAGTTAAGTGTCATAGCACGGGCATCCACGAAAACGGTGCATTTCACTACTCGTAGATATGCAAATAGGCTTTACATGAGAAATTATATTTAACTTTAACTTGAACTTCCAAAGGCGATTCGACGGCAATTCTTTTTTGATCGCCCGTTATAATACATTTAATTTTTCCTTAATAATAAAGCTAGAAACAGCAGATTGAAAAATAAGTATGTATAAGTATACCTACTGACATTTTAAACCGATTGTTAAGATCTATAAAGCGCATTGCTCTTGATAAAGTACGTTGTCAATTCAATAGTAACGTCCTGTAAATGGCGCTGCTGCATTTTCGTACCTAATTTGTTAATTCTATTATCATAGTTTCTATCCCAGATAGAGATAGCCTTGAGAAACCATTTGGTTCACAAATAAAACGTTAAATTCGGCTTGTAAAACTGCACCTACCACATTAGGTAATCTCCTCTAGTTTCCGAATCAGAAGTTCTCATTCTGAGAACTGGAAAACCTCACTGCATTAGCATAAGTATAATATTTAAATAATTAGATTTACACCAGTGGCGTCGCTAGAGTACGATGCGCCGGGTAGCAAAACAATTAATGCGCCTTAACTCTCATACACATGCAGGTGCAGGGCAATAATGATAACGTTCAATGCTTCGCATCGCATCCTTGCACGTGCACCTCGCATGACTTCATTTAGTTGAAATGTGATATTTTCAAGTTTCGAGATACAATAGGCCTTTATGTTAAATAAAGGTCTTTCTTTTATACATAAGCTTACAGGTTACTGTATCACAGTTAGATAATTAAATTTAAATCTTGTAAGATTATTTTTGTTGAATTTTTGCTACTCTGATTAATCCCAACCGCGATGTAAATGTAAGTAATATAATAAATAAACCAATAAACGATACTAACCGCGGCGCCTTTCGGTACTTGGCGCCGGGTAGCAATTGCAACCCCTACTACCCCGATAGCTACGCCACTGATTTACACCATCTTTCCGTACACAAACATCAACAATTGCATTACAGTTTGTGCAGAAAAATTCTTTTGGACTCACCTAAATGTTTCCCACTCGACCCTTCTCATTATCTGTAGTACCTTATCTATCATCTGATAGGTCCCGAAATTGAAATTTCAACCTTTGAATCAACACGAGACATCGTATTTACCTGGCTTTTGCCAAAAAATAGGAATTTTACGATCACGGTTACTCGTCCTTTTCGAAACGAGGCGCTCCTAAGACTAAGAGGAGGATGTACTGATATGAAAAAGACTATTTTACTAAAAATTTAGAGCACTAATGCTCTTGAAGAATGTAGCTAGAAAGGGGGAGGTTTCCTTGCATCACAGATTTTAAATCTGTGGTTGCATAATCTGATATTAGTAGGTGTGGTGTCTCACCACCACAGAGTAAAAAGTTCACTTTGAAGTTTCCACTTACAAAAAAAAATGATATTGGGTGGTTTTTTGTCGAAAAAGTTTAATTTGAATCTCCCTTTATTTATACAGTGTGTCCAAAAAAGTTTTATACAAAACAAAAAAAAAGTATGACTTGTAGCACATTTTTAAAACATTGGAATGGAATACAGGGAAAATCAAAATCATCATTTGGAGTGACGTTCAAGCTGTATAGTGGAGAGAAAAAATGTTCATTGTAATTGTTTAGTAGGTACCTAAGTAGCAAAAAAAATACCCACTTGTACATAGAAATGAAAAGAACTAAGAACATATACTTTCTTTAATTTTTTCTTAATATTATTTCTTAATATTATTAGAAAAACAAATAAACTGTCAAAGACTGAACTTTTTCTACTCTGATGGCAATTGGTAAACCACAAATAAAGGCGATGTAAACGAGACGATAATTTATTCTGGTGACGCAAATAACTAATAAACATAAAAGTTTATTCTACCTCGAAATTTACTTACCCGGTGTATAAATAGGATTAATAGGCGACACGATCAAATTCGCAAGCAAAGAGCCCAGCACACAGATTGGATATTCTGGAACGTTGGGAAGCAAAACGGCCACAATGTCCCCCGGTGATAATTTTAGTTTTTTTCTGAGCGCTTTGTTCAAGTTTATTGATTTCATTAAAACTTCTTCGAAGGTAAACTTTTTGCCGGTCAAATTACATTCCTATCAAGAAAAAGTACCAAGCTGCTGTGAATAAAAAAGAAATTATGGTTACTTACCAGGGCAGTTTTGTGGGGATATTTCAGAAAATCTGCAAAAATGAATTCCGGTAAAGTTACATTGGGAATATTCACATCCGGTATTGGTGATTTTATTATTGTGGAATTGTGCCGTGCGGAAGATAAATTTTTAAGATGCCGTTCTAAAATTATGATTTTTTGGCGCGAGCCCGAGGAGATTTTACGAATGCGCGAATACATTGTAATAAGTGAACGTAAAAGGTAATTAGCCGATTATCTCAAACGCGCGGACACGTAGATATAAGTTGTTTCATTCTGACTCGTTTTGATTTTGCACGAGACTAAACAATAGAACATCGTACCCCCACTACGAAAAAACTCGCCATGAAAATAGCACTTCAAATTCAAACAAAACTCGGAAGCAAAACGAAACGACGCGCAAGGCCAATATGTGCTGTTGATCCCTTCCCGACGCGGCGTTGAAGGTTCAGTGGTTGAAGGAAGTATTGAAACGACAACAGAAGCCTCCCGTCCGAGACGAAATAAAATATCGGGATCGGAACACGCGCCGCAAACCCGATTAACGCAATTTACCTATTTTACTTTTTCCGGTCAAATCAAAACAAACATTAGGGGCATGCATGCGAGAGGCTTATTGCCGCGTCAGTAAAACTGAAACGATCGATTTTACAAGCTTCTTGCTTTACACCACCGCGGCAGTCTAAGTCTAAACGAATTTAGTGCAAGTTGAATCCTCGACGGTAAAAGTGTCATTTACATCATAAAGAAACGTGTGTTTTTTGTCTCCAAATATTTCGCTTTGTCATTAGTACCTACCTACCTTATCTTGTAAAAGATTAGGATTTATTTATATTGCTTGCTAAATAAGAAGTTTCAAAGCTAGTTCTGGTTTTATTATAAGTACATTACCCAATTTTTTCCTCTAAATAATGAATTTGTGAGCGTGTTATTTCAAAATTGAGTTTTGTTTATCTTTGCGGTTAAACGAAAAAATAATTATCGGTGTTACAAAGGCTACAAGCAAGTCTCTGTGGCGCAGCGGATAGCGCGTTGGACTTCTAATCCAAAGGTCGTGGGTTCGATCCCCACCAGAGATGGAATATTTTGTCGTGAATCACCCATGACAATCAATTTACAATAAAAAGTATACGCTACGAAAGGGAAAAGGGGCAAAGTCACTTCGCCAATAATAGGCGTAATCAATTGTTTTGAACTGCAAGTGAATTATTAACCTAAAGATCAAGTGGACGACCTCGTGAATAATCTCTAAAAGGTGCTGATTTACGATCATTCGAGAAAAGTAAAGATAAAATCAGCGCAACAGTGTGCCATTGGGCTATGATAATGTGTGCACCCTTCTCGCCTATACAGGGCTTAAAGCTTTTTGGGAACTTTCAAAGATAATCTTGTGCAAATTAATCTGTGAGTAGATTGAGAATATTAAATTGGAATAGCCGTTATGTACTCAACCCCAGAATTTCCTTGTCCCTACCCCAAACCCAAAAAAACAAAGATGTACCTACGTTTCTTCTTAAAATTGCCATTACTTATTCGTGTTATACCAACGAAATTATATATACTTATAAGACAATGTGCAACTCTAATATGAGGTGTTTAAATCATGACTACCTAAAGAATGAGGGTGGTACACTGTACTTCCTGACTTGGAGTTGAAACATTATGGTCTAAACGAAATTATAATTCACAAACTGACCTACTGAAGAACATTAGTTTTAACTGAATCTAACTTACAAACTTATACATATCGACCCTCTTCAAACACCTGATTTTCAATAGGTGACATGAAAAATTGAAAAAATTATATAAAACAAACTGCAAATATAAATCATCAACTAATACATTTATTTATTTATTTAACCGTAAGTCCTTATACATTGTATGTACAATTGTGTCGCAATCACTGTACTGTTGAAGTAACCTACACCCGCTTAATAATCCCTTGTCATGTTATCGGATTTATTCTAATTTTCCTCTTCCATGCTAATCTGTTTTGCGCTCATACTCCAATTTATCCCTCTCTGCTAGGCTGCCTGCGTGAGTCGTTATGTATAATTTTTTCTTGCCGTTTTTTTCCTGGTCATCGTGCCTCAAATAGTTTTTTGGCTAATTTACCATAGCTCATTCTGGTTAGGTGCCCAACCCAGCTCAATTGTCATTCATTCTTCTAAAACTATTTTATTGGTTTAATTCCTTTACTACTGTATTTCTAGTTCTACCTCGCTTCCGTATATAAATGATGGCCTTAGTTTACTTTACCATTGTAATCCATACGAGTTCCCAGATATTCGTAACTTTTGACCTATTCATTTGTCCGTTATTTTATATTCTTTAACATCATTTGCCATTATTTTTGTCGGTAGAATCCACTCAGCCATCCCCTCCACTTTCTTCTGACGTCACACGTACGGTCCCGTGATTGGCTGTGACAGAAATTTAAATTTGAGCGCGCGATTTGAATGTTTAAATTTCCAAATATCTGCCATTATGTTGCGGTAAATTTTAATTTGTGTGGGAGATTTGAATTTTTACGTAAGTAGTTATATGCAGGGTGTTTTTGTTCCGGTGCCAATAGATCGGTAACTGGTCAGCCATTTTAGTCCTGTGCATCCATATTGAATCGTGTGTCGATATATTTGAAATTCAATATACAGGGTGTTTGTGTTCGGCCACTTTGGCATTAATGTTGCTAAGTTTGTTACGTTGACTTTGAGCAAACTTAACAAAATTGAGATAAGCACACGGTAAGCTCTGACAAAGGAGAGGCGAGTCGGTGTGAATAACGGCCGCGTTCTAGTAAACACGAAGCAAAAATAGTAATAGTAACCGGATAAGCGCCACTTAGCTTTGAGTATATTTCAAAAGGGAAGAGAGAATATCGACTTACCAAAAGGAGAAACAAGGTAGACTAGAGATCCTTGTTCTGGTCTTGATAAGCTAAAGGAATAAAATAATTGACAGGGATAAAACATAAACAATAATTGTCACAATCGAGGATAATTTAATAAATGACCTCAAAATGTTACAAATAGGTCTCAAATGTCAATATTTAGTTTTAAATCAATTTTTAGCAGAATGGGAATCAACACGTAGTCAAGGAAATCATTAGAATTAAAACACGATTCCACATACAACAAAGGAGCTGTAATTGTTAAATGAATATCAAATGCATGTAATAGTTACAATTCGTTTGTATCAAAAACCAGTATGTAATCAAACGTTATATTGAAAATTCGACGAAAATTCCCTTCTGAACTTCAGTTCGCATCCTTTTGATGTCAGAAGGGCGCGTTCGGTCCTATCTGTAACAGATAACAACCAATCAAACACTCAAAAGAGATAGTGAATAACGTGGCACAAATATATTGCGATATAGCAATGTCTAACGTTTGACACTTGGGCAAATTGTACACTAAAACCGTAATTAATACTCGATAATAATCAATAATTCAATTTACGTTAACTAAACAACAGCAAAACTTTGACTCGACCACGGATTATCCTTACAATCGGTGATATGTATATATAAAAGCATAATCTTGATGTTCATTAAAGAAAACTACTTTATGATGCATAAATAACTAAATTTCTGTACAACGGTAATGTAATCTAATTAAATCAAAACGTATACAAGATATTATGAACAAATTCTTCCGAGTAAAACGAATAAGTTAAGTAAAAATCGTAGACATGTGTTTCGGTAATCTCAAAAATTGATTTACAAAGTAATGGTAGATCACAACCTCTTTCAACCTATAACACTCGGAGGGCTTCTGGCGACGAAAATAAAGAACTAGGTAAAAGAATGGCTTTAGTGTGAGCTAAATAGCGTAGTAGGTTTATTTACAATTTGTACATACGGTACTCGATGAAGTCGACATGCATGCGGCGAGCGCTGTCGGTGGAGTGAGATTGGTTGATGTGCTGCGCTGTCCCTCGGCTTTGCTCGTATGCGAGTCTTCTGGTCGTGAAGCGAACTTTTTCCGGATTAATCCCTCCCTATCTTTTTTGAATTAATTAACGCTCTTTCAAAATGTCGCCTAGTAGATAATTAAGTGAACCATCTTCTCCACAAGTCTAAATGGATAAATTTTTGAAATCATCAAGCCTATAGTTTGACACCATGCATAGGTACTCTCTACCACCAAACTTATACAAATACGCACCCCTAGCGAAATTTAATTTAAGTAAAAAAAATAAACGCTATTTAAATGTTCCCGTTCAATGAATATTAAACTGGTTTCGGGTAAAACTAATTTATGTAGTGTTGGAAAAAATCGGGGTTTTATTTGAAATTGAAGGTAATTGATTAAAAACTTGTCACTTATGAACACAATAAATTTGGAGTCTTTTCTTAATTTGAACAAGCCCAGTGGTTATTTGTTAAATAAACATTTTAAAAGTGTTTCTGAAAATAAAGCAATTACATTTTGTTTCAAAATCTAGTTATTTTGGGCTTTTAAAGTTTTGTGAGTAATACTAGAGAGCCAGTCTCATTTTTGATAAGTAATAGCCTTGAAATTCTCCGAGAAATTTCAGTATTTTGTCTGGAGGGAAATTTTATTTTCACGGATTTAAAGCATTATCTTGCTATAGATTGGTGGATTAATGACCTGTAGTTCAAGTGGGCGACCTCGTGAATAATCTCTCAAATGTGTTAATTTACGATCAGTTATAATTACCTATAAGATAAGATCAGCGTCGGATTATCCCAAAAGTAGACTATTAGGCTATGATAATGTGAGCCCCCTTCGTGCCCTTAAAATCTTTTTTGGGAATTTTCAAAGAAGGATAATGTTTAATCCGTGACTGTATACAATCTGTATTGATAATATTAAATTGGAATAACTGCTAATGTGCTTTATTTCAAAATTTCATTTTATTACTCTATTCCGTCCTATTAATCCCGAAATATTTGCCCCCCGAAATGGGATCCCGTTACAGTACTCACAGTTATTTTTAATATATGTGGAGTTCCAGTAATCACCTTGCGGCTTGATCCAAAATTAGATTCTTTAATCCTCCCTGTAAGTAATGTAAGACCAATTACTGTCACCACGTGCATTTTGACTATGAGCTTTCAAAATCTTTATATATGTGCTGATTTAGTTGGAAGAACGTGGAAACGAAATGATTGCGCATTTTGAATACGTGATAGGATATTATTATGCCTGCGCACAGTGTAAAAATACTGTGCGACCAAAAATGAGTTGCTGTCGAGTCACCTTTGGAACTTTTGTATACATGGGAAATCGGATTTAACTTGAACTTCCAAAGGCGACTCGACAGCAACTCATTTTTGATCGCCGTTACTATAGAATGTTGTTCTGTAGAAAAGTGCAACATTTATTTACAATCGTGTAGTTTATATGTGGAATAACATCTCAATCGTTTAAGATTACAGTTCTTACTTGTTTACTACGTTATCTATTAGTAGATTAGCTTATTTATATAGGTAGCTTTTAAAAAAAATCAGAAAATTCTGATGTCATTCGAAATGATATGCTGGTGTTAAACACTGGGAACGTACATTCCTCAAAAAATTACCTACCTGGCCATTAAAATATTCCACACTTACTCTGTGCTAAAAATATCTGTAAAAAGTGTTCGTGTACCAGTAGTGCAAATTTGGCCAAAAAATTGGTGATACAAGTGAGAATAAACAGGTCTCTGTGGCGCAGCGGATAGCGCGTTGGACTTCTAATCCAAAGGTCGTGGGTTCGATCCCCACCAGAGATGGAATATTTTGTAGTGAATCAGCCACAATTTCAGAATGTCCATAATCTAGCATATCATACCATAACTCTAAAACTAAAAAATAAAGTACGAAATTAGTGTTTAACTCCTAATTAAACACTAATTAATTTTTGTTCTACCACATTTTGGAGTGTAGGTCCACTAATTATATACGCCTATGGTACTAAATTGACAGTTAACTATTCACTGTCAATTAACTATAAAACAGTTCATCTCTGGTGGGGATCGAACCCACGACCTTTGGATTAGAAGTCCAACGCGCTATCCGCTGCGCCACAGAGACCTATGAGACTGTCTTTAAATGTATAGGCAAGACGGTGTTGTGATTTCCCTCATAAACTTATGGAAAATGCACAAAGTTAACGAAAAAAATATTGCAGTGCAATTTATTTTGAATTTTTGAAATGTCATAACCCAGTCACCTAGTTATTCCTTGACATAGAAATACCAATTCCATTTTTGCTTCATTTAATATAAAAAATCTCAAGTCTAAGTCGACAATAAAAATTCAAAAATACAAAAAGTGAGTATATTGATTTTAAAAAAAATTATAAGCCGTTATAGGTAATTCCTCCTCACACCAAGGTACTAACCATCTTCATACAATATGTCGCCATAAACTTCTTACATTTTCAACGGTATTTACATATTTGTAATCTTCCGTAATTAAAATTCTGGCCAACAGGTCCTTGCTCTAGAGCGAGCAATGCCCGATGCCGCTACTTATATTTTTTACACTAACCGCGCGATCTAATTTTCATAACCGCAAAACTCGGTCGACAACCTACACACTATTGACACTGATGACTGTTTCTATCTATCCCCTTTCTCTTTTTACTTCGCTATTTATTTTGCAAAGTAGAAAACCGAAACGGGACCCAACGCAAATCTCGAGGACAACGTCCCGTCTCAATCGAATCCGAGAGTCCCGATTCTGATCTTCTTTGCATTTTCGGTTTGTCAAAATGGAACCACCGAAGCAGGAAAGTTTACTGGTAACAACTCACGTGTCTTAAATGCGCACGTTTATTTCCAATAAACTGACTCGCGCCTACTATCGGTGGAAATGTTACAATAAAAGTCCATAGTTAGTTGGTAGTCGAAATAATTTCTAAACGCACGATATTTGCAATACGAATTCTTCCTTGTATAGGTTTTATGAACCGTAAAAGAACACTTAATAATTACTATCATTCGTTGATTATTTCTTAGAACGGTTTTAGGTGTTTTAGGCGGAATAAGATAATACAAAACCGGCGATTAGGTACTCGACCAGATATTGTTTATACCATGTATTCAAGATGAAAATGAACAGAATAGGGATTTTGAAAATTGTTACAAATCCCGTTTAATGGCCTAAGAATTTCAAAATTAAGGGGTCAACAAATTGCCGATGGGTCAATTAGAAAATGATGTTTACTTCCCGACATTCGTTACTTCAGTAGAAAAAAAGAAATAAAAGACCGTTCTTATTGCAACTGTTATAGTTTTACTAGATGATGTTAGCAAAATTACGATACAATACGGATTTTTAACTTTTACGGTATCCAAAATCCTCCTGATATTCATTTTTATCTTGGACTCCTGGTATATTTCTAGGGGTTAAAGATTACAGGACCGGGTACTTTGTTTGGAATTTGGAGAAGTTGCAGCCCGCTAGTTCAAAGGTAATATTTTATGTCGTTGTAACTCCATGAAATAACGTTTGTGCCTCGGTTTGTGCATAGCGGTTTTCGATACAGTCGAATTGCAATTAATATATTTTTGTGCTATAGTAATTTAATTAGTTTAATAGGAAAATGACACAATAGACTGGCGAGGAAATAAAAGTACGAGGTCGAGTACTTTGATTTCCGAACCTCTTAATCACCCCGACCCAGCTCTACTTTGCCCGAGCTTACCCTTAACTAAAGCTAATTTTGTTGAGGGTGCTTGCCATATATATAGGTGCAAATGCCTCGAGAACAGTTTTGTAATAGAGTCTCACAAAAGGAAAGTCGAAAGTCTGCACGAGAAGTGGGGATTAAAGTGTGCCCAAGATTTATTTTATTTTATAGGGATTTAAATATGCCTATAATACATGCCCTTTTTTATATCATAGTTCGTTATTTTCCCGCTAGAGGTCATGCAAATGTATATTTATATTTAGTGACTTTAGTTTCTGTTACAGTGACTTTATAGAGACAGTGGCGACAACAGGGTATCTCGTTTTTGATTGGTTGCTGGTCCCGGTCGCCATGTTGGAGCTAAATTCCAAACTGGCCAATAGAAAGCATCGAAAACGACGCGGTACACTCCATGCTGATTAATTATACTGTTTGGACAGTGTCATCTGTAATTGTCACGGCTTCAAGTTAGTAGTTTACACTTTGTTTCTTGTATTTGCTTTATTTTACGTTTTCCGTCGCATCCGACGCATATAGCCGAGCATATAGCTTTGATTTTTGATATTACCTGTAAGGTATGTAATTGGTAAATCGCTTGAAGTGTTTTTAGATGTAAAACTGTGCCTAACCTTACTACTGGTAATTGATGTAAAAATTTTTTCAGAAGCCCTAAATACCTAATGAGTTTAGAGAGAAAACTGGTTAGAGAAGCATCTTATCCGAAATTTAGCAGCAAATTCAATTATGGTTATGGATAACGCAATTGTGATCATAAATACCTACGCTTGAATTGGTTTAATGTTTAACATTGATGATTGCTGGAGCACAAGGAATATTGATCTCTTGTACTAAATTGGACTAAATCAACGTGTTTTGTCTTCCATTTAAGGGACTAAAGTAATACTTTTTATCCCGGAAGGAGAAACAGGGGACAAGGGACAAGAAGTGACAATACACACTAAAATGTTAAACACAATTTAATGATTAATGGTTACCTTTATATGTACAATTTGGATATTGCACCATATTTTATACGTATTACACCATTTCCCATATCTTTTTGAATTTGGCAGGCAGTGGTTTTCCCATAGCATGTTCTGCAAAGCTTTTTATTATTCTACGGTCATAATTTGACATGACAAGGTATATTGATCCTACAATCAATTTGTTAGCTCCAATATGGCGGATTATTATAAGTTGTCGCCACTGTCCTTATAAAGTCACTGTAGTTTCTGTTAGTCACTAAATATAGAAAGTACCGCAATCCATTGGGCTCGTGTGTTAGAGAGAGAAGGCATGATTTTTGCCCAAAAATGGCGGAAGTTACCAGATTCTAGTAACTTTAATGATAGGGATTGTTCCACCTGTTTGGAGATATCTGTATATATTTTTATAAAAAATGACAGTACTATGAAGTTAGGTTATAAAAAATGACAGCTATTCAGATTTTATTTGTCAATTTTTTTAAGTTGACAGCAAATTTGCCCAAAAATGGCGGATGATTACGGTACTTTCTATATTTAGTGACTTTAGTTTCTGTTACAGTGACTTTATAGAGACAGTGGCGACAATAGTGTCTAATTTTTGATTAGTTGTTGATATCGGCGGCCATGTTTAAGAGAATGTTACCTACTAAGAGGGATGCAACTTTGCATTAAGTGTTCACAAAATTAAGGCAGAAAGTTAATAATTTTACAATATTCAGCGTGAAGCTGGAGTCTCAATCGGAAAATTTCAAAAACTCGAAAACCATTAGAGCAAACAATTTGTTAATACGGCAAAGAATAACAACCAATTGAGTATACTGTATAAGTCTTCAGAAATTGATGGAATCGTACCAAAATATGTCTAAATCCATGAGTATACTCCAACTTTCTCAAGAGAAATATTCAAAAAATGTTTTGCTTATAAATTGATTGATTTAGTGAAACCAACTACCTCCAAAAGTCGAAGCTTAATTAAATTAGATAATTTTCTGTAATATACGGTTTTTATAATAATATTGGTCGAGCATGTTTCCTCTATGGATAGTTTACTTTTTCATTGACGAGAATATGGTTTAATGCGGAACAAAAAAATAAACGAATAGATCACAAATACAGGAACGGGTTACCGATTATCTGATTGGTACTGCAACTTCAATTCTCGTCTAAGGATTTTTCCTGATGCATTTTTCGGTATCGAATCAATTACAGTGATTCCACCTTTCAAGGTCTTGTATTCAGCAACGTTGCTCGAGACATGTTGCAACAGTTTCTCAGTGTTTAAGATTCGGTCCGGTTTGACCACAACGTAGGCGTGCGGTACCTCGCCGAAACGTTGACTAGGAACTCCAATGACCGCCGCGTCCGCTATATCTGGAAAGGCTCTGATCAGCTCTTCCAATTCGGCCGGAGCAACCTGGAAACCTTTGACTTTAATAAGTTCTTTCAGACGGTCTTGAAAGTAAAACATCTTATTGGTGTCGTAATAAACCAAGTCGCCTGTTCGTAGCCAACCGTTCACGAATGATATATTGGTATCGTTCGGTTTGTTGTAGTAGCCCACTGCCACTTGAGGTCCTTTGACTAGTAATTCGCCGGGAAGATTCGGACCGAGAGACGGAGCGTGCGGATTATCGGGCGGCACGACTTTCACCATGGTATTTGGTAACACCTCTCCAACTGAACCTGAAAACCCGATCGCTTTCTTGCGAACTGCCGAAGTCGCCAATATGAAAGGCGAGGCTTCTGTTAGGCCATATGCTGAAATATTAAAGATTTGGTTTTGGTCTAACACTACCTATGGTGCTTAGGTACCTTGCAATATGTTTAAATGTTTACCACTCTTAAGCCCCAACTTTTCTTCGTCGTTCCTGTCGAGAGGTGCAGCGCCGCACACAATTGATCTAATTGGTTGTAAGTGCACCTTTTTGATTGCATTGTGGTTGGCCATAAAAGACACTATAAGTAGACTGATTAAATGGAGCATCTCCTAACTACTATTTACCAATAGGAGGTGCAATAAGTAGTAAATGAGGCTTCTGCGTAAGCAAAGTTTTTAAAAACAGTTCTGGGGTAAATTTGGGAAGTGAAACCAGTTTGCACAAGTAGCGCATATATAACAACATAACTGAATTTAGACCGGCCACGTGAAACCATGGTAAGATTCCAGGAACCACATCCTGGTCGGTTTCTATAAAGGAAGAGTGTCTTATGTGTACTACTGTACATCACGTGAATTACAAACCAGAAGTATCATGGGCAATTTTTAGCAAAGGATGGCTAGTTTGACACAAATTGGAAACCACATTCTGATGACTCAATTGGACACCTTTCGGCAGGCCCGTTGTGCCACTTGAATATAACAAAAATGCTGTACTACTTGCATCATCAACCTCGGCTTCGTCTATTTTAATATCTATGTTGACGAGCTCTTCAAAATTCATAGCGCCGACAGGTAAATTCTCTGTAGGCTAAAATTGCTTTGAAGATAACTACATTTTGGTATATCTACTAACCTCATTCTTTATATTGACAATCGCTATTTTGCTATCAATATCCTTCGTAACCGCTTGAGCAAGCGGATTCAATGAAGTTAACGTAATAATCGCCTTGGCATTAGAATCCAGTAACTGATATTTCACTTCCACTAAAATAATTATAATCTCGCTTAAAGCAAATTAGATCAATACACACCTGCGGTATAAGTTGGATTAATAGTAGTGACCGTTAAACCAGCTTCAAGGCTACCCAAAACGCAAATTGGAAATTCTGGCACGTTGGGCAGTAAAAGTGCTATCACATCTCCCTTTTGCAAATTTAACACCTTTCGAATGGCCTTTCGTAATTTATCAGATTTTGTCTTGATCTCTTCGAACGTGTATTTTCGCCCAGTTGCAGCGCATTCCTGTAAATTAGTCTGAAATTTAAACAGTAAGGCAGTCGTTAACTTACCACTCCAATTTTATTAGGAAATTTATGAAAATTCTCGTATACGTATTGAGGGACCGTTACGTTTGGAATCTCAACACTACTCAGAGATGAATTGATAATATTTGGTTTTGGTAAATGAGAATCAAAGGTCGAATTACATCTTACACTTTGGGCCAAGAGGCAAACACATCGACGAAAATAAGGAGGTCTGATCATATTCGCAAGTTTATTGAAGGAAGCGAAGAGATGTACTGAGTAGGTACAATGTTCTTTTCTCACAGTTGGTTAGCATAACTGATTGAAGGTAATCACATACATATTTTGCTCTTTTAGTAGTACAACTTGTTAATGAAACCGGAATATCATTACAGCCATATAATGACACTTCAAAATGAAAACAAGCAAATTTGTAACACTGTTCAGTGTCGTTAATCTTGTGTAAAAACAATAAATCAAATGTATTCGATAATTACGGGCTATAATATGTTCAATTCAAAGTAGGTTGTGCATGATCCATTTAATTCCTTAAAACTCGTATTAAAAGAAGCACCTTATTTGTAAATATTTTTGAATAACTGGCAACAAGAGATTTTTGCTATGAATATCACGAAAGGCATAATAGAGACGCTTTTCTGGTGTGAGTGATAAACAGTGTACTCTTAATTGAAACAGAAATTAAATTAAATTTGGGAAAGAAAACAGAATCTCATTTACTACATCCCAAATACGAGAACAGGCTATAGTGTATACAAAATTTTTAACCAACCGTAGAAACTCTTGCACCTATTTTATAGATTACCTATATCCAACATAATTATTAGCAATCGCACGTGTATGTTCATTAAACGCATTTCTGTATAATGTATACAATTAAGCTGAAATGAATGCATGAAGAAATAATTGCATATGCAATATGAAATTCTTGTATAGATGACCTGCTTAGTATTAATCTCATTAATAGTATAACAAAGTGTGCAAAGTAATATGTAAATTGAGCGGAAAATTTGTCCGCATTGGATTCGTTAGGTTAATTTGGTACGATTCTGTTTTTAATGCGATCACTAGAATTGTCCCATATGGTGGTCATCTGTAATAAAAGAAAAAATAGCAATTAAAAAAACGGCATTAAACAAGTTCCGACGTAATCCTTCTCTGGATAACCTGATAGTGTTTAAAAACGTAGAGCTGAATGTCGTCGGGAAATTCTTCAGGCACAAAGAAGAACGTGGCAACACTATGTATCCACCATAACGACGGACGTGACTATGAGTGAAATATGGAAGAAGATGGGTGCGATATCTGGCAAATCTAAACTCAACTACCCGACATTCCTTTGGAAAAACGATGGGGTGGTTACGAAAGATTTACAAGAAATCTCGAACCTCTTGGCAGACCATTTCTATCAGGTCAGTAGTTCGTTAAACTATCCAGCGTTTTTCCTTGAGACTAAAGCTGAAAAGGAAGAGTATATGGATGAATTAGAATCTGCACTTAAAAACACGAAATCCTGCGCTCCCGGTCAGGATAGTATCCACAATCAGATGCTTCGTCATTGTAGCAACCCGATGAAACAAGTGATTTTAGATTTCTTTAATTTTTGTTGGGAAAATAGTATCTACCCTGATGAGTGAAACGAGCCATAGTCGTTCCCATACTTAAAACGGGGAAAGATCCGTTGTTGTCGCAGCACTACCGTCCAAAGGCAAACTCTTGGAAAAAATTGTTGATGGGAGATTGCGGGTCTTTCTGGAAGAAAACGAGATCATCGTCCCCTATCAGGCCGGTTTTCGGAGAGGTCGGTCGACGGTCGATCAAATGGTTAAATTAACTGATAACATCCTAAAGTCGTTTGATGGTGGCGAGCATTTGATTGGGGTCTTCTTTGATATCAAGAGCGCATATGACATGACATGGCGGTATGGTATACTTAAAAAATGTTTGAATACAATTTACGTGGAAACATGCCCAAATTTATTAGATCTTTTTTAAGAGACAGAAAGTTTATTGTTAGAATTGGAGAGGCGTATTCAAACGAGCGCGTATTAGAAAACGGGGTCCAGCAGGGCTCGACTTTAAGCTGTTCACTGTTTGCAATTGCCATAAACGGAATAGCCCTGGGTGTTGCCGACACAGTCGATAAATCCCTATACGTCGATGACTTAATGATTCATTGTGCCGGAAAAACCGTTGGTTCCGCTGTGCGTATACTACAAATGGCTATCAATAAAATTTCTGATAATGCGGATGCAGTGGGGTACGTTTTGTCTGAGGAAAAAACGAAGGTGGTTCATTTTTGTCGACTCCGAAGACCACACTATGACCCCGTTCTATTTATGAAAGACCGTATAATAGCTGTGTCCCAAGATATGAAATTTTTGGGACTTACCTTTGACGGGGAGCTGCGGTGGTCCAAGCATCTACAGAATGTTGTCACAAAGTGTAGGAAATCATTAAATGTCATTAGGGTCCTGGCCCACCATAAGTGGGGAGCTCACCCAAAGACTACAAGGCCTTAATTTTATCGAGAATTGATTATGGGTGCTGTGCTTATCTGACATGTGACAACAGTGCGATGCTTGGGAATCTCGGTAAAATCCAAAACCTCGCCATACGGTATTCCCTCGGAGCTTTTCCAACGAGTCCGGTCGCTGCGCTTCACGTCGAGGCGAACATCCTTCCTCTAGCCCTCCGTCGTAAACAGGCTGCTTTTGATTTCAAATATAAGCGGGACGTGTTTAGCTTTTGGAGGGAATATAGCCATTCGGGTGGATTGGTTGATTAGGTAGCATAGAACCTGTGGGTTAAGTTTTTGGAGTTTCAGAGTTTTAGAGTTACCTATTTTGTTCTGGATTTTTCCAAAAAGACCGAGGATTATTTGAATTTACTGTTTTACAGTATTTAATTGGTAGTATAACTTTTCTTAGGTATTGTTACTGTCATAAAATAAAACAGTGTCACCGTTATCTTTGTGTGCCAGTTGTTTTTAAGTGTTTTTTCAATTTGCACGCTGCAGTAATATACCTTTACCTCAAACCGTCAAGAAAATCTAAATATCAGGGCTATTTTGACATTAGAAAGTTGATCTTTACCTGACTAGTACTGTAATATTTTTGCCTGACTCCCATTACAGTCCTAGTACATGCAAAATAACAATTAGATCATTGAATAAGTTATTCAATCAACGATTGGATATTTATAATGCAGACTATGTGGATATTTTTAAATATTAATACACCTACACAAAGGATAATGGTCTTTTAATTACTAACAATTAATGGAATATGTGTGGAAGTAATTATTCCTTTAGTTTTGCGCCAGTCATTAAAAGGTTTGTACGCCTTTTCGTACCTCTTTCTTGACTTTGTGTGGAGCGAATACGGAATATTGTACTACGGCGGCCGCAGCTTCGGCTACATTATAACAACGTCTCGCGTAGGTACTGTTCTTCACTGATACCTGCTTTTGTACCTAGTTATAAAGACTGTATAGTACAAAGCATAAACTGCATTAAAAATGACAGTGATTGTTTTAATTATTTTGAAATCTCTATGGAAACAATTAAATAAAGTGATTTTAGCATGCGTGATTAGGTATCAAATGTCACACATATGAATAATTTAATTTGGAAAAGTTATCTACATGTTGCGGTTTCAGGTAAAATTTTATACATAATACGTCATGAAAGTGAGTCCACCTGACTGGGAGGCATTAAAGAGATACTCGGACGCTGCGCGTCCTCGTACTTTTCAATAAGCCTCCGCGTCATGTAAACGACCACTTTCATGACTTATTATGTAAATAACTATTACCCAAAATCGTCCTGAAACCTTCATTTTCATGCCTACTTTCTGCCAGGGAATTTTAGTTTCCATGACAGGCAGAGCAGACTACGTTTCCTGCTGCTTGTCACTTTACTGGCCGCACCTGTTACTTTACCGTCCGCATTTGTGACATTACTAAATGTCTATAATGACTCCATTGACATTAATCAAAAGTCCTATATGAAAATTGAAATTTTATATTAAAATACGATTTCGGGTAAAATTTAATACAAAACTCGTCAGTAAAATGACATTACCTGACTCGGAAATTAAAGTACTCGGCCCCTTTGCCTCGTACTTTAATATTTTCTCGCCAGCAATGTGTCATTTTCCTGACTTTTATGTAAATAACTATTAAGTGCTTACTGAATTTCTGGATTTAAACCACTCATTTTGGATAAACTTGGATTCTGCAGTTTCCACTTTTGTTTCTTTGAAGATCATCTGATCAAAACTACGAATATTTCTTGTTCTCTATCAAATTTTAAAATGCAAGGTTTCTTGGTAGCTAATGATTTCTCTCGTAGGAATTTTTGTCTTGTACTTGCAGGCAGCAACAAGAAAAATGCAAAACGAGATTGAAACTTTAGCCATGAGCCTAAGGACTAGATTACCGGCCACTGGAAAAAACTGCGTATACAAATCATGAAGTAATTTTCGAATAAATTCGAGAGGTTGTACCGATATTGTCAGAAAATGACGCTCTAATGCGACATGCGTGTATAAGAATTACTCTAACAAAAATAGGGCCACATCATGTAATTGTGTGTTGCTCTTTCTGTTGGATTGAGCTGCTTTTAATTATCAAAAAAAGCAAAAAAAAAACTAGAGTAAGCGATTTGAAAACTAGTGTTGGTGTCTTGGTGAGTGATGCAAAGGCTGTTGATTAAGTGTAGGATAGGTTGCCTACTACTCCAGGATGCAGTCCAGACAATGTTGATGGTTTGGAGTTGAAAATTAGGGACGCATTTCCATAATAAACATCTTACATATCTTAACTACGTTGTTGGTTATTTATTTTAGAACTCAAAAAGGTGTACAGTTATCTTTATATTATAACGAAGGTCTTACGATTTCACTGTAACAACGGTATCCCTGTCACTTTTTTGCTATGATTTCTACGTGTTCCAAAAATCGAAGCGCAGCATTTCTTTAAAAGTGGAATAATATAATAAATTACTGAACTAAACACACTCAACTGTAAGTCGAAAGGTCAAAAGTACTATGGAGATTAGCACTATTAAATTCAATGGCCAAATAATAATATCTTGCTGTTTGCGGAAATCATCAAACGAGTATCTTCGGACGTTTGCACAATGATAACCAGCAAATGAATACACCCAATACATTAGCGACTGTTGCAGTTGCAGTTACCAAATGAAAGGAAATATTCGAATGACTCTTGTAATTAATTATTGTGCGTGCGAACTTATCACGCCCCTCGTGATAATTTTGTTATCATCAACGGATTGTTGAATCACTGTAGTGCCGTGTGACGTGTCGCTTTTACAACGACAATAATACCGTGTGCAAAACGAGCTGCCTGCAATTGCACACGGTTCAATTCATTACGTATATAACAACGAGCGTGGGGATTCGTGTGACATAGAAAAACCGAAGTGTTTCCAATATCGTGACGTAATGAGCAGTTCAAAACCAGTTCCTACCAGTAAGTAACCATTTTTTATTAATTTATTCTATTATAACTTCGTTTGTTTAGCAACAATGTCGTGCAAATGTTCTTCTGGCGAAACCTGCATTTGTAAGGTGTCGTGCAAATGCGTTGATTGCAAGTGCACCAAATGCCCTGCAGTTGCTTGCAAGTGCGAAGAAGGTGCTGCCTGTATATGTACCGTCAAGTGCACCTGTGTCAATTGCAAGTGTGCAAAATGCCCAACTAGTACCTGCAAATGCACTTCTGGTGGGACCTGCACTTGTAAGGAATCGTGCAACTGCGTCGACTGCAAGTGCACCAAGTGCCCTAAAGTTGCTTGCAAGTGCGAAGAAAGCGCTGCATGTATATGCACTGTCAAATGCACCTGTGTCAACTGTAAGTGTGAAACGTGCCCGACTAGTACCTGCAAATGCACTTCTGGTGGAACCTGCACCTGCGTGGAGTCATGCAACTGTGCTGATTGCAAATGCACCAAATGCCCTAAAGTTGCCTGCAAGTGCGAAGAAGGCGGTTCGTGTGTCTGCACCGTCAAGTGCACTTGTGTCAATTGCAAGTGCGCAAAATGCCCAACTAGTACCTGCAAATGCACTTCTGGTGGGACCTGCACTTGTAAGGAATCGTGCAACTGCGTTGACTGCAAGTGCACCAAGTGCCCTAAAGTTGCTTGCAAGTGTGAAGAAGGCGCTGCATGTATATGCACTGTCAAATGCACCTGTGTCAACTGTAAGTGTGAAAAGTGCCCGACTAGTACCTGCAAATGCACTTCTGGCGGAACCTGCACCTGCGTGGAGTCATGCAACTGCACTGATTGCAAGTGCAGCAAATGTCCGAAGAAGAAGACCACATGCAAATGCTAATATGAAGAACGGTGCATTTTCGTGGATTGGTGCGTGAAGAATTTAGTGCTTATCGTATATCGTAGTATTTTGTTAATTCATTCCAATAAATAATCCAAAGCATATCATAGTTCTGTGGTAGAGTTTATATTTAGTACGACACTATTTGTAGGAATTCAAAATGTCATGTAAATTATTAATATTTACTTTATTTTATTGTAGTTAAGTAATGTTAGTATGGGTTAATAAATTGTATACATGCAGTCAATTCATAGGTTTCACATTTCACGCACTAGGATAGGAGCAGCTGCTCTACTACCAAGCACTCTTACGTAAATACTCGATAACTGTTTTTAAACGAGAGTACTTTTCGCATTTCAGCACAGTTTATTAGAAAATTGTTTTAACTCCACTGGTGTCCAACCTCAACATACGTTCCAGCAAATTCTTCCACAGGGAAAGGAGCCTTGCTGCTTCAGTAAATGTAACCATATTTGTTCAAGATTAGATCAGAGGTCACTTCAATTTTTTGCTAGGTCACCATCAACAGTTTCATTTCTCCTACCCCAACCCGTAACAAAATGAAGTAATTGACGTAGAAAACGGTTAGCACAACAAGAACTGTACGATAAAAATCATTGCACGCATTAAGGGTGGACAGTACATACAGAACGGAGTATGTAAAGTTGCCTATGCTCAATCGCCAAATTTGGCCATTTATAATATTTATTTTTTATTGATAATTTACAAGGTGATTAAAATACTAGTCTATAGCTACATAAACAGACCCCTAATTCCCGCTGTCATCACAACGGGAGTTATAAAATCTAATTCCCTATCAGAACAATAGGACTTTGACAATTAATTGACATTTACGATAAAGTGAAACACAATGGTTAGCTGTCAATCGTGTAGTACAACAGTCAAAACCTACAGAAGGAACAAGAATAACATTTAGTAGGTGGTAGCCATGTGATATTTCTTAAAATGGTCTTCTTTTACGATACTTAACTTCATTCATTTTGTAGGTTGTGATACAGATCCATTGTCGTAGCAATTGTGTGTAAAACAACATTGTGAAATACATCTAGGCACTTATCAGATTTCCTTCAGACAGGGAATGGCAAATCTTAGACTTCTTGGGCTTAAATCCCTAATTCTTGTTTTTAAAGACGTTTTCAATTGCCCATAACTATAATCCAAAAGAACGTCTTAGTATTGTTCAAATTCGAATAATAATGTGTATAAATAATACCTTGAAATGTCTAGGTTCTCTCTCTCGCACAGGCAACATGGATCTAAGCATGGAGTAGTAGGTCCACAAACAAGACGGTTTTCCATGCTTAGATCGTTCCCTAAAATACGCCAAAAGAATTTTTTCGTTCACAATCTTCAAGGATTTTTCCGATCGCCATTTACAAAACTTGGAGTATTCGTTTTCATATAATGTTTTTGAGGTCGCCGCCACTAACCCCTTAAGAGCGTCTTCAGCTTCTTTTATTCCCTCCATGGGAACATCATCATCTCGCTCATTCCCTTCCAACATTTTCCGTTCTTGAACAAAGCCAAACGACACAAAAATTGCTTTCAAAATGACGGACGCAGCATTTTTTGTTGTTTATATACGTAACTAGGTAACCATGGCAGTCGCAGCCAACCCCATACGCAACCATGATATAATATATAATATATATATATATATATATATATATATATATATACATCATTCTATCATTATTGCGTCCATACATTTACCAATTACGCACATTATTGCGTCCTTGGAACTATTGCGTCCGAATATCGGACGCAATAAAGGCATCGCCTGTATTTCCATGTTCCCGCCATTTTATCATTCAAATACTATCAACGAAGGATGCACCGGTTTAACAGATTGCTATAGCACAAACCAGTTTTGAGACATCTCTTGCCGTTTTCGAGATATTAAAAGATAATGAATTTTTAGTGGACGCAATAATAGTTGCAATTCGTACGAAGTTGTATATTTTTAGTTCAGCACTTTGCAGCTAGGGCGGTAAATTAGTATACGCTTTCAAGTATACGTTTTACAAAGTTGGTATATTATTGCGTCCAACATGTGGCAACACTGTAAGCTATTTATAGACATCATTTCGATAAGATAATCATCTTTTTATGTCTTAAATGAGGATAATTATTATACTCTCCATTCGGAAAGTACATTGTTGCGTCCAGATACGTTTAATTATATTGGAGCTGATCTCCAAAAATGTAACAATTCAAAAAATTCTATTCAATAAAATTGTTTAACATAAAAGGTGGTATTTGGTTATCAAAAAATTAAATTTCGCTTTTGAATATTTTTGGTCGATAGTTAACAGCTGACCCCCCTTTAATGGCAGTAAATATTAACTTGGCGAGGTTCAATTTAAACTGACGTCTCTTATACTATTCCCACCATTTAAAAACAAATTTTCACCACAAGCGTACACTTTAATTTTTGTGCATTATTCCGTAACACCGAGCTGATCTCCGAAAATGTAACAATTCAAAAAATTTTATTCAATAAAATGGTTTAACCTAAAAGGTGGTATTTGGTTATCAACAAATTAAATTTCACTTTTGAATATTTTTGGTTGATGGTTAACAGCTGACCCCCCTTTAATGGCTGTAAATATTAACTTGGCGAGGTTCAATTGAAACGTGACGTCTCTTATACTATTCCCAGCATTTAAAAACAAATTTTTATTACAAGCGTACACTTTAATTTTTTTGCATTATTCCGTAACCCAGAGCTGATGTCCAAAAAATGTAACAATTCAAAAAATTCTATTCAATAAAATGGTTTAACCTAAAAGGTGGTATTTGGTTATCAACAAATTAAATTTCGCTTTTGAATATTTTTGGATGATGGTTAACAACTGACCCCCCTTTAATGTCTGTACCTAAATATATTAACTTGGCGAGGTTCAATTGAAACGTGACCTCTCTTATACTATTCCCACCATTTAAAAACAAATTTTGACTACAAGTGTACACTTTAATTTTTGTGCATTATTCCGTAACCCCCAGCTGATCTCCGAAAATGTAACAATTCAAAAAATTCTATTCAATAAAATGGTTTAACCTAAAAGGTGGTATTTGGTTATCAACAAATTAAATTTCGCTTTTGAATATTTTTGGTTGATGGTTAACAGCTGACCCCCCTTTAATGGCTGTAAATATTAACTTGGCGGGGTTCAATTGAAACGTGACGTCTCTTATACTATTTCCAGCATTTAAAAACAAATTTTTACTACAAGCGTACACTTTTATTTTTTTTTGCATTATTCCGTAACCCAGAGCTGATGTCCAAAAATGTAACAATTCAAAAAATTCTATTCAATAAAATGGTGTAACCTAAAAGGTGGTATTTGGTTATCAACAAATTAAATTTCGCATTTGAATATGTTTGGTTGATGATTAACAGCTCACCCCCCTTTAATGGCTGTAAATATTAACTTGGCGAGGTTCAATTGAAACGTTGCGTCTCTTATACTATTCCCACCATTTAAAAACAAATTTTTACTACAAGCGTACACTTTTATTTTTTTTTTGCATTATTCCGTAACCCAGAGCTGATGTCCAAAAATGTAACAATTCAAAAAATTCTATTCAATAAAATGGTTTAACCTAAAAGGTGGTATTTGGTTATCAACAAATTGAATGTCACTTTTGAATATCTTTGGTTGATGGTTAACAGCTGACCCCCCCTTTAAGGGCTGTAAATATTAACTTGGCGAGGTTCAATTGAAACGTGACGTC